CAATAAAGTTGCAGTGACCTGGTTTCGGTACGCGACATCACCTTCTCCCAAGTGGCTAAGTATACAAGTTTGTCTCGCGCTAGGTCAATTAGGCCGAGTTATAGAGCGAAAGCGAAATATGATCAAGGTCAAGGGTAAATGTCAAATAAATAAGCTCGTAGTGACCTGTTTTGGTACGCGACACACCTTCTCCCCAAGATGTGTTGAGTATACGAAGTTGGGGATAGCGCTTAGGTCAATTAGGGCGAATAACGGAAAGGAAATATGATCAAGGTCACCGTAAACGTCAAATAAATACGTAGTGACCTGCGTTTTGGGCTAGGTCAATTACAGCGCGAAGTCTATAGAGTGGTAAGGGAATATGAATCAAGAGTCAAGTTAAAGCTCAGATAAAGGTCGCCAGTATCATGTTATTGTACGCCTGCGCACCTTCTCCCCAAGATGTGTAAACGTATATCCAAGCTTTGGGTTGTAGCGCCTAGGTAGAGTAGGGGCCAATTCAGCAGAGCGGAACGGAAATATGAATCAAAGGTTCAAGGCAAAGGGTGAGAATTGGAAAAAGTCGCTAGTGACCCTGTTTGGTAGCGCTAGGTCATTAGGGGGCGAGTTAATAGAGCGGCAAGCGGAAATATATCAAGGTCAATAGAAGGTCGCAGGACCCTGGTTTTCGGTACGCTGCCGCACCTTCTCCAATGTGGGTAAAGCTATACCCAAGTTTGGACGCCTAGCGTCAATTAGCCGGCGCCGAGTTAGAGCAGGAAGGAAAGTTGATCAGGTTCAATAAAGGTCAAATAAAGGTCGCCAGTGACCTGGTTTTGCGTTATGACTGCCTCACCTCTCCCAGATGTTTAAGTAATACCAAGTTTCGGTAGGCCGCGTAGGTTAATTAGGCCGAGTTAGAAGAGCGAAGGGAATATCATCAAGTTCAAATAAAGAGTCGCATGACATGGTTTTGGTACGCTGCTCACTTCTCCCCAAGATGTGTAAGATATACCAAGTGTTGGTAGAGCTAGTCAATTATGGGTCGAGGTTATAGAGCGGAAGGGAAATTGTCTACGCGGCGGCGTGGGAGACGATGAACCATAGTATCCTGCCGACATTCGTCCGCCGCAGCGGATACCAATACATCCTGTATATAAAATCAAAGGGCCGCGGATCACACGGCTCATCTAACAGGTTACTGCGGTGACTTTGTGGTGGAGTGGTGGGATTTAGTAAACCCTGTTGAGTCCCGAATGTTTTCACATATCACGCGAAAACACGTGGAAGCACAGGATGGTATCAGGACTTCTCAAGCAGACATGCTTCTGTTGGGATCGTTATGAAAGTTCACGAGGATGGGCGTACGTTTAAGTGTCTTCAGCATCTAAAAAAAGCATGGAAGCTCCATCGTAACGTAGTAGTCAACAACTTATTTGCCTCCAAGACAGAATAGTAACACTCATCTATTACCTACGCCAAGCCTACAGCTGGAATAGAGGAGCTGCCACCTTGTAACTAATTAACGAGGCAAAACTCCAGTACCACCACCACATGCACTGGCAGTGGCCCATACATTTACAATGTAACAACCACTGACAGTTACGAATGCCATAAAATAACATTTAAGGAGCATAAATCCTATTTCAACAAATTACAGCTTTTGAATTTCACTGTGACACTTGTAGCCTCATAACCAGGCATGTATAGATCTCTACTAGCAACCGGCCAGTCAAAATTCTTTCTAACCAGCGTAACAGTAAACAAATCCATATTTAAACCCGCCTCATTGAGTCAGTCAAAAGGTCTCCACACTTACTGTCGCACTTCAGCCAGAAAGTACATTTCTATGCCTCCTTTCAATCAAACGCTGAACAAAAAAGTTTTCCAATCGCTCTGTCAAGCCACCCATGTCTCAGAAAATGTCTAAATCTTCCTAGCTGCCACTTGCGACTTTACCTGTGACCTCAATTTCGCCACAGTGATGCTTTTCCGGGTATAGGTTACCTGCTCATCAGTCAAAGGCAGCCAGTAGATACATGGTACGGCCTTCGTTTTGCGGAATAGGTCATCCAACAGTTTAGCAGGTGCTTCTTCTTTCCCTTCCTTCTTACGCTCTGAAAGCAGAAATTTATCATTACCGATTTATACTTAAATGTAAGCAAACATGGTCTTACTCCCATTTTCATATCATAAAGAAGTAAAATTAATTATACCAAATAAAGCAGATTGAAATATCATACAATCACTAATTATCATTTTGTTGTTATTAATTTTAAATAATTTCTTGATTATAATAGGAAAAATTTGTTCAGGGAATGGTCTAATAGTACACCTTCTAATCTTAGCAATAGGCAACATCCTATTAAATCAATGACGATAAATGTTCAACTGATGACACGGTATAAAGGAATTAAAATAATGGGTGTTGCCATCACCTTTCTTCTCTTTTCTATCCCGGCTGCGGTCCCTCCTCTTCATATCTCTGCTAGGAGAGTGTGAAAGTGACCTGTCCTTTTTCGCGCCATCAGCTGAAGGTGACCTTGGGCGCACTCTGTTTCTGCTGAAACCACAGATGAACACACAAGCATCAGCAACACGACACCTCAACGATCACACAATTAAACCACTGGCCAGTTCAGTTACCTCATAACTCCATATTGCAACCGTATAGCTTTGCACACAATAACGCGAATTAACTGAAAATTCCCAGTAGTCGCGCACAAATCTTTTCTTTGCCTAACCATTAGGGATGGACTATAATTACTGCTAATAGCATGGGAACTAATTTGTCCACCATTTAGATGACCATACGGACATACTAACATAACATACAGAACACGCACACACAACTGTGGTTTCAGTTACTCAATACAACTACACACAACTGTGGTTTCCATTACTTAATACAACTTCATGCCCGGATCTTGCTCACTGCTAATGTGACCTACTCTAGCTTTGCACTCATAAGTATTGAGAGCGAAAAGTGGCATTTTTGAATTGTATTTGACCACACTATAGGAGTTTGACACGAAGACCGATTAACGGTAACCAATAAACAAATCAGCATCAATAATAACAGATACCTAGCGTATTCAGGTGGTGAGCGACCTGGTATTTTGTCCTTGTCCCATTCTCGCACATCAACCAAGCGCTTTTTCTTCTCAACCTCTCTCAAGTCTCTGTCTGCTTCCTCTTTGGATCGCTTTGCGCGCTCTCTTGCTTGCTCCTCTGTTTCCTTTGCCTTCAACTCCAATTCTTTCTTTCGTCGTTTCTCTTCCTAAGTAAAAGATGGTATACTTAGAAACTGCAGAATGTTCCACTACCACTATCTACTTCTACGCACAACAGCAACAAGCAGAGAGAGTCATCATCCACCAGCCTGCTTGCAAGCAGCACATGTCATAAATAGCATAGCAACTTTGATAGCGTAGCGTAGCAAGTTTGAAAGAGGAAGACGGGAGGCGTAGAGAATTCTAGCAATACTTCACCTAATATATGCCAAGTAACCTGATAGTACCTTGTGCTGATGTCGGAGTTTCTCTTTTATGGCTTCTGCCTTCTGGTCCTGCTTCACTGTTAACTCACGGTGAAAATCCAACTAGAGGTTTCCAGCCATAAATTGTTATTATTAGTAGTAACTCATTAGTATTACAAGCATTTACATATGCCATACAATTATAGTTGGATTATAGAAAATATGCACATGCAACTTACCATGACAAAGATAAAAATTAACACAATAGCACACATTTTTTATAGTTACTTGGATTTTGTAATATTAAACTATATTATTAAAAATACATAACAGACATAAACAGGAATCATGTGAAGATGAAAATAAGTATTAAGTGCCTATTCCTCATAATAGAGTGGATAACTACCTCTGCCGGCTCTGTGAAGTCCACTCTGATAACTTTTGGGTTCGAAGATGGCCATTTAACTCCATGCAGATCTGCCCGCAGGGCCATTGCCTCATCAACAGTTTCGAACTAAATCATACAAATAGATACACGTTTTATAGTGATTAACAATAACTATACCTGTCGTAGTTTCGCAGTAGCTTGAATTTCACACAAGAGAAATGACAAACCATCAAGCAAGACTCTAAATTCTTGAGCACATGGTTCCATACGATAACTACTGAGCATTACTGTTGTGAATTAGTGAATAGCCTAGTGAAACTGTGCTATACACAGGACATCTGTTAAAAGTTAGACACACCGGGAGCCCCAGTCTGTGACACCAGATGTGGGAACTCTTGTACAGGCACACAAGGAATCCGGCAAAAGGCACCGCTCTACCAGCCTTAAAAAACACTGATACCGCCGACACTCACCTCTGCGAAACAGTGAGATTTGATCTTGTCAATCCAGAAGCTGCTGTCCACCAGCTTGCCGCTGCGTCCTAGCAGCTCCTTCAGCTGGTTGAGAGTGAAAGGTCTCACGAGGTTGCGTATATGCACGAGGGTGGACGGTGGGTTGCGGGAGGGTGAGGGTGGCTGTGTGGCCGCCTCCGGCTCATCAAACAGTGCTCCAGACAGCTGCAGTTTCACCTTTCCTACAACTTTCTCTTCCACTAGACAAACACAGATCACGACTACAACTGGTTGCCTGGTACAGAAATAGCCAATTTTGGATTTTTAGTTTGCATGCTCGATAGCTTTCAGCTCATTAGCAGATGCCTAACATGCTGTAACAACATTGCCGTTTTTGACTTTCACTTCAAATATGAACAGTGATGAATGCGGCGAGTGGGCATTGCAACATTGCTGGATGTGTGAAAAGTTTGTAGAAACTTAAAAATAACTTAAAAACAAACACTCTGATTATAACTGCAGTTTTGACCACACGACTCGAAGTGTTTGGTAGACAGAAATTCCAACAGTACATCGCACTTTTTTAAAGTTGAAATTTTCTTATTCCTGAATTAGCTCAAAAACCATCAATGTTGAATGAAAATGTGTTATTATTATCTGACATGTACCTTTAGGCTTCATTTCCACTGCTTGATTCTCCTTATCACCAGATTGCTGAGGTTCATCTTCATAATCAAGCTCTTCCTCTGATAGGACATCTTTCTGGGAGACTTTCTCAGCAACCTATGAGAAAATAATGAAACGATTTGAAAGAGGAACAGAGACACTGATTATGCCCAATCTTCATCATTTATACATGAACTACAAACTCAATGATGTATATTAAAGATAGCAGAGTGATAGCTAGGGTTCTAGAGATTTAAACTGTAATCGTATTTTATGTCTTCATGTCTTAGCTGCAAAATTTAATGCATGTAGTTTTTACATGGCTTACATAAGAATCCTGCTACTATTAGCTTGTCTCATGCAAGTTTTGGAGTGCTTTTTATTGCTTAGAATTAGCCCCCAAAGCACCCGAACAAGCAAAAATATACAAGAGGAGATTCAATTTAAAATTTACACGTGTGACATGTTCACGTTCATAAACATGCTACAAAATGAAATACGCTAATTGTACTCATTTCCAAAACCATACCATCTGCATAGCATTTTCTTTCCGGTCCTTCTTGAGTTTAGATGGTGGTAGCTCCTCCTCTACATCAGAGTCGCTCTCAGCCTGCTGCACCTCACGCGTATCCAAAACAATCATCGGCTCCACGGGGTCAGGTTTCACATCCGGTATGATGTCCTGACAAAACATATTAGAAGTAAAATAAGCAGGGAATTTTTCCCTCGAGCCAAAAAACAACGTAATATGACAATGGAATGGCTGAACCCACTTAAAGCAATAAGTGATATCGGAAAGTCCAGCTTTGGACATTTAGGTCATAGAAAAAGGGGGATAAAATGGCCAGGCACGCTTAGGAAAGTACATGATTAATGTAAACACTCGTGCGTTTTTAGTTTTTGCATTAACACAAACATTGCCAAATAGCCCAAATGACCACAATAATATTTGTAAATGTTTCTGTAAACAGAAACTCACAGTCTGTGAATTGAAGTACGATGTTAGTGAAGAGAATTATAGATCAAAAACCTAGACTAGTACTATCGTAACTATGTAATATATAGGCAACTTATCACCCCTCTTATCCATGTTATCTGATCTCAATATGGCAGCAGGGACTTTCCGATATGGCTTATACATAATGCACAGAAAATACTGCAATAAATAATGCATAGTAGCAAGCTTCAACATGATATTGAAATACATACCGAGCTGTCATTTTATCCAAGCATCTAAATCAATAGAAAAATATGCAAATATGTGGAATAATGACCAGTTAACAAGATGAATGGGAATGTGTTTGATGGCTTTCACATGTACACACATGCTGGTGTCTGCACGAGCTCCCACTTCTCACCTTTAGGACATCAGATGAGATGGCTAAGGTAGCTCTCTTAGCAGGTCTTGCCGTACCCCACCTACGCTTGCGCGTTGGCTGTTCGCCTGTCTTCTGTGTCGCTGTCTCAGTACTGCCTGTTCTTGTAGCTATTAAAAATGGAAAATGTTCACATAAGACAAACAAAAGTCAAAACTGTAGCATTGGAATTACATCTTCAATCAAAAATAATGGTGATCATTCATTTCTCATCAAACTGGAAGATGAAGTGCGAATTGTTTAATGCTTCCTTTTCATATGATATGATATATCATATTTCATATCATTTCATTTCCATATCTGTGCTACATGTTTACTGATGCTATATGGTACATATTTCTATTGATTAGAATGCAATAAAGGTTGCCTACAGTGTAGTGAAATCTTTCTTAGTTGGATCTTGGGTGGTTCTGTTGGAAGCAGAGGTTGCACCTGCAAAAACCATTAATTTACCTAGCATCATATGCTACAAATACAATGTCAAACAATCTTTTACATATAAAATTTTGCAATCTTTTTGCCTTTGACAAGTTTCTGCCAGGAGGCTTTGTGTTGGCTGTCTAAGAATAATGGCCAGATCTCTCGGTATCTTCACTCAAAATAAATTAAACCATGTCTGCCGCTTTACAGCACCCATTTATACACTCAGAAAACATTTTTTCAATCTAGTCTCTGACAGTTCTAAGTGCAGCTGGTAACGCGACAAAGAATACACGTAGGCGACTCCAATTTGCAAAGGTGACTCAACCAATCTGCTGAAGTCCATATGTCGCTCGCAGCTGGTCATCTACCTGGTCAATGATATAAAATTAGCAAGGTGGAGGTAGGTGGGGCTAGCAGTGTCGTGATGTGTCCCGCAATCTATTTCTTTGAAGATGATATCAACTATCTCCAAAAGCAGGACGTGCTCATCAGTGGTGGAGGTGATCGCAGCGCAGTGTAGGTAGTCGGATCATTGAAAGTTATAGTTCGTTCACACAAAGTTGGATGTACCACTCAGCTGCACAGTCACATTTCGGCAAGGTCGAAGAAAAAGTAATCTGCATAGTCAATCACTGCCACTAGAGGTGGAGGTCTGTTCACCACATTCACACACGTGAACGGTGGTCAGGTAAGTGCAGTTTCATGGATCCACGATACGTCGGCCACGGAAGATCCAAGCTTATAAACACATGTAGCAGGAAGCTTCTAGCAACGTTGATAGCTGTAGATGTTTCAAGTGTGTTCATGATGCAGACTAAGCTGTAGACAGCAGTCACGGACGCGATAAATTTCATGCGACCTATGCCCATCGCATAGAATCAGGATTTCTTCTGTCTTGACGAAGTCTGCTCATCTACATGAAGCATACTAATTTCATTACAGAGTTTTTAAAAAGCACAGATCATTCACTTTGCAGCTCGTCAGGTGATGGCAAAAGTCTTAAGATGGCAAAAATCCATGTGTACATTTACTTCTGATAGTGAGAAAGGTGTAGAGCACAGAAAGCCATGAGAGGCATCCTTATTCCTAGCAGATAGATAGATATTCATTTCAACTCTTGCTGCCCGAGTTCACATAAGCTCAGCACCGATTAACGTGAGATTGTCTGGATGCCATTGACAGTCTTCAAAGGTCAGCACACTGTGGATCAGTTCTCATTGCAAATTCTACACATCCCGCGATGAGCCCAGCACTGTGGCATAATCGGCATACTTATATAGTACAACCCCACTCACGTACTACGTAAGTACACCCTTGAACAGGGCACTTGGTTGACCATTTTGAACACTTCCATCGTTTTGATGCATGTTGATACTCTACAGCATGATTTAGAGTATTGGCATTGTCAAATTCACTTGAAGCTAGGTAAGAAACTTCTTATCTTCTAGATAATCAGATCCGTGCTGGGTGTGTTGACACAGTAATGTTCTGCAGAGATACGTAATATGTCCGAGGTGTTTCTCAACATTTTGCTGTCACGTGATTGATGACACTCACACTGGCATGCAGCACAACCAGCAGCCCCAAGTCAATTTGTTTTCGGGCAGTGTCATGTCCAAGCAAGTCTAAGCAAATCAGAGAACAAAAGTGGCAAATCACTGATGATCAGAAGGTGTACATCAATCATGTTTCGATGTGACGTTTTGAAGCAGGCAGACCCAACTTCCACTAACAGATCTCGTGTCACTTTGCTAGGTCACAGAGCAGTATTCCAGTTCAAACGAGTAAGCCGACCACGTGCCTCCTCAGCCAGTTCAGCACAGCAGGTACAACTCCGGCGTGGAATTTCACGACGTCTTTCCTTCACGCAGCTTCGGGAAGCTTCCGATTACGGCTCGTTCCAATCAAAGACGCGGTCAGAAGCATCAACATCTGGCCCAGTCAGGGCTCAGGAATTGTGGATAGCGCAGCTGCAGTCTCACTCTTCTCAACCCACTGCTAGCCCGGGGGACACGTGACGCCACTGTAATGCCAGCTTCTACCCATGCCTGACCTGACACACTTACAGTGTTCCTTAATGGCACACAACACCAAAAAGCAAAATGGTTTTAAGAGCTTAGTTATTTCACCTCATCCAGACACATAAAAACTAATAACAGAAATGAGGAACTAATATTATCAACTTGCACATGTATGCACCAACCACACAGCATTGCATAAAACAATACCCTATTATGGGATTATGAGGGCAAAATAATATTCCAGCAGATAATCCAATCAATGATCACTATATCAAGAGATATTTAATTAAAGCAGTTCTGTCATCTTCAAAAATAGCCCTAACTCTACAATACAATCGGATGTGAGAAATATCTATGACAATTTACCAGTTAATAAATACGGAATTACGATATAAGATCGTCAACCTATTGCCAAAGTTCACCCATTGTGTGGGTATTTTTAGAGATATGGATTCTGGGGAAAGGTTTAGATTGCCTCATAGTTAATTCCTGGACTTGCTAATATGACATACTGTATTTTGGTTCTAGGACAAATACCCCCCGGACAATTACCCTCCATGCCATTCACCCCCCGGACATTTACCCCCGGACAATTACTCACTTGGTGTTTATTATTCATTGTTGAACAGTGATACAGGGAGGAGGTCGAGGAGGAGGGAAGAAGGTGGTGGATGAGGGGGGAGAAGGTGGAGGAGGAGAGCAGGTGGAGGAGGAGGGGGAGAAGGTGGGGAGAAGGTGGTGGAGGAGGAGGAGAGGAGGAGAGGAGGTGGAGGAGGAGGAGGAGAGGAGGAGGATGAAAGGAGGTGGAGGAGGAGGAAGAGGAGGATGAGAGGAGGTGGAGGAGGACGGATGAGAACGTGGGAGAAGGTGGTGGAGAGGCGGGGGAGAAGGTGGAAGAAGAGGAGGTGGAGAGGGAGGAGGTAGAATGAGGGTGCCCTAGCCTGACCTCCCTCAACCACCATCTCTACCTCTCCTCTCCCGCCTCCTATTACCCTCCTCCACTACCCTCTCGCCGTCGTCGCATCTAACTCTCCTCAAATTTCGCGGGGCGTAAATGTCTGGGGGTAGATGTCCCGGATGGTAAATGTCCAGGGGGGGGTAAATGCCCGTGGGGTAAGATGGTCCGGGGGTAATTGCGCGGGGTGAATGCATGGGGGTAAATGTCCGTCCCGGGGCCTGATCTGTCTGGGTGTATTTTCCTGTATTTTTCTACCGCATATAAGATGCGCAGATGATAAGATTAACAATAAGTAACGTTAAGGGGGAAAATTTAAAGCGACCAATACCAAAAATTTGCACCCCTTATTTAGCCTTAATCACACTGACCATCACAGTTATTATTTTTACATGTGTTACACGATAGTGCCCCAGACGACTCAGCAATATAACACAAGGCTGATCAATGCTTATAGTATATTACGTAAAACTAAGAAAAATAGAGAAAATGCATATGATTAGCTTTAAGTTGGCAGCCGAAGCATTGTTGCCTAAAAACATGTTTGGCTGTGAATGCCAGTGCCATGTTTATATAATCAGTAACACGTTTCAAGTTACATACAACTGGTCATGTTTAAAGGCTGGATAATTCTTATCTGAAAGATCTTTGGCTGGTAAGATGCAGGATGTTTTCTACGATGCAACTTATGCATCTTATAGGATTGCATTCCTATGGACAGTATGTAGCAGTACTTGGATTCGTACTGATATATTTCCTCATAATGGATTTTTGCTACACCCTATCCTGACCTACAATTTCAACAAAAATTGGCTACATCATGTGCACACGCTAAAATGAAGAGCATAAACAAACGCCTTCCCTCTTTTCTCTGTCTTGTCTCTTGCATTGCCTCCTCGTTCAACAACCTCAAACCCTAAAACAGAAGAATCCCCTTCGAGCCCTAACATCAATTCAAGGATAAAGTAGTAAAACGCATTTCAAAAGTGAAGATTCGAAGCAAGTCTTCCTGAACTGTTAACAGAATTTTTCCACACATTATGTACACATATTACTGGTATTGCTTGTGCTGAACAGCAGTGTCCTAACTGTAAAAGGCTAAGCTTTCTTTGAGCACTCTCACTGTTATAACTTTCACGCAAAATATGCATAATGAAGTCTCCTCAAAAAAAAGTCCCTACAACGTTCTCAATGGCAGCTTGCATCCAGACCAACAGAGAGCTGTACCAGTCTACACAACCACTACAGTCACCCAAACGAAACCTCTCCCATTTTGTCTGCTGGTGGCAATTAGAAGTTAATTGTTGCGATATACTGAAAGAACTGAGCAAGAGAGGTAGGGTGGCTGGGGTCGGCTGGATCATAAGAACCTTCATACTTACTTTGAGATTTTTTGTCACTTTAGGTGATTTGACTTCCACGAATTCTCCTTCCCATCTTGTCCCACGCGGCAAACAGCAAAACATGCTATACATAATAAAAATGATTTTTTTTAAGCAATAGCAAGACGCACCCATTGAAAGCTTGGACACCATACTTATTAGACATCAGCTGGACCACAAACGTAAGAGAGAAGGCAGAATAGCGCCATTGATTATGCAAATGTTGACGAAGCTAAGAGTATCAGCTGGAACAGTGAATACGAAGCTGTCATTATTATAGAGCAGACAGCTAATATCAACGTGGGACGAGAAAGACGGACTGTTGGAAGTTTGCTGGCAACTGGCAGCTGTATTATAAAAAGCGGCGCCAACGCTCCATTAGCGACGTGTTCCAACTTTGATATCCTTAATGAGTGAAATCCAACCTAACCCCTAACCCTAAATACATAAACGCACAAACTAATTATGACACATTGACATATATATATATATACTAATTGTAGTATGACCTTAATGACATTAATGGGGACATCTCCTAATGAGATGCACCCACCATAAAAAGACATGCAAAGCTGTGACAAAGCAGCCCGACTAATGTCAATGCATATCCAGCAGCACAAATCCAAGATAGCGAGTGTATGGGTGTGCCCTGTGCAGTGATGTAAGTGTAGGTGAGGTGAGGTGAGGGTGAGTGGGTTGGTGCTCAACTTTCACATGCTCTGCAAGCGGAAATAACTCAACCATCTTTGCCTGATTGGCTGGTTCTCAGAATTATTACATTATC